CTGTTTTATTCGTTCGTGTGGTTACACTCAGACGGCTACCAGACTGTTCGGGAAACTTCGACTACATTCCATAACATTCGAGACGTTTTACACGAATACAGTAATTTTCAATGGAACTTTGATGTTAATTTTACATTAGTATGCTTATTAAAACTAGCTCTGTAAGCATTTAATCAAGTAATTTTATTAATTAAACAAATGAATTAAGTATTTTTACCTTATAATTTGTTTTCTATGAATATACCGATAGTAGGTAAGCTCTGAATGTGTTATACCTGTTCTGAAATTAGACATAGGTATAGAAACCTAAAATTATGTATAATTACGTTTAGGTAAATATATTGTCCGTTATGTCCGTATATAGTCAAATTAAAAACACTATATTATGCACCAATCGAGTAACAGAAAACAGGTCAAAAAAACGTCAAAAAAATACTTTAAAGCGATAAAAATAAACGCACGAAAACAATATAAAACATATAGCGCCAGGTTACGTAAATATTGTTGTTGGGGAAAATTTAATCTCGAAGCTGGCAACCCAACAACCTATAATATCGTCTAGAATGCTCGCTGCTCGGAACCAGTTCGAGCGGCGTAGTCGACGTTGTGTTTTCTCGCCGTCTCGTTCGACCGGCACTCCACAATATTCTACCGTAGCTTTGCGGAGCTCTTGCAGTCTACAGCGAGCGTAGTGCCGTTAGCTGATTTCTACAAATGAATATAAACTTTAATTTAATAGGTATAAGAGCATTTACAATAAAAAAACATTGGAACGTGTAGTCTGCACGTACTCGTGACGATAACGGATAAACAATGTTGGTAGTATCTCGAACTTTCCATGTTGTAATGTTATGGAATCATTATTTGGAGTTGGTTCGGTTCACATAATGAATACAACACCATGTTCGCGGTGGATTTTTGCGCTCTTGCCAAAGCAGTTATTGATCCGGTCTCCGCCCGGTCGGGGTGTGTTTTATGACGAACGAAACCATCTGACTGCGCAACGATCAATATTTTTCTTTCTAGATAGACAAAGCTAGGCGCTTGGTACAAATTGATATAATGATGCTAAACATTTATAAAACTACCTATTTATTTTTTCCTACGTATGAAAATATTGCAAATTACAGAGAGGTCATAATGAATTATTATTTACTTTCCTAAGCATAATCTAATTGAGTACAATACAAGTAATTACATAGCAACAATAGGTAAATACATAATTAGGTAACTATTTAATTCAAGTTTTCACATTCCAGCCAATTTAAAACTAGGTAAATAAGTAAGGTTTTGTTTTGTTTTCAAATAAAATGGCACTTTTGTTTTCATTTGTACAAGACAAAGAGCATAAACAATAGGAAGGGACGAAACGTAGGTACAAGTATAGGATATAGTCTGTTGTCTGTAGGTACGTGGGGTGCGTAGTGCGGATTACGGATGACGTCAATATCTGGAAGGTCGCAGTGGACACGTTCCATAAGCCACGAGTTCCATGGTTCCACCCTCACACAGCTCCTCAATCATAAACTTTACTAAAATAGACAATCTGCTATCTAGTTAGGTTATATTTCTAAGTTTCCAATAACTATATGACTAATATAGTATTACAAAACAATGAGCAGATAAACTTTCTAACAAATAATCTTATATCGATCTTTCGCTTTCTGAGTTCGGGCTAACGATCGGGAAATAACGTGTATGTGACGCGTGTGTTATCTGCTGATAATGAACAGTATCTTTTCAGAACAGTTATCTTTTACATCTGTATAGGTACTTGTGTAATAACGTAGGTATATTTTTCAAACATGTTTTTTTTTAGCATAAATATACATATTTAGAATTGAAATGTACACTGTTCACAATGATTATGGATTCAAGCATAGGAAATAAAAACATGCGTTTGGCCTCGAATCGCGTTTTCACAAAGAAAAGTTATTAAAAGCGTGTTAAAGTTTCCGGTTTCGTTTACTCTACAATATCCCAGTTAAAAGGCATTGAACTGGTGTCAAGACTAGAAATTAAATCCTAGACAGACTACATCTAGGTACCGTAATGTTGGTCAGTGAGATCTAACAGTTTCATCTCGTTCTAAATTTAAAATTATCGCATTTTTAATTCATAAAATTTCTGAAAAAAAAAACAATTAGGTACTGAAAGAAAAGGCTAGTTATACACGTCACTAGTTAAATGTTGACATTTCTTACAAGATCCACCTTGGTGGTCGCTTGTCGCAAATCCGAACCCGACATTGGCTGTATGCCAAATTAATGCCAGCAAAAAAAAAACAATTTATTCAATAAACAGGGATAAGTAAATCTGTATTCGTTTAGACACAATATTTAAATTCTTGTTATTATATTTATTTATTGTAGACATTACAAACTCTGTAAGTACCACTTATTTTTGACCTCTTCCTTTTGGAGTTGATTCTAGTAGTCTAAATAAGAAGTTTTAAATTATTATCTCAATCAAGTAATCCCACAAACTAAAATGTTAATTAATGTAAATAAACATTGTGGAACAAACAATGAATGGCAAGTCAGGAAGCGCTGGCCTTAGTATATTTCTGGATAATTTTCTTGGCATTGTCATTTTCATCTGTAAAGGTTGCAGAGATTTTAGATAATGCTTTTTATTTGTAGTCAAACCATTCCACATACACTTACAAAGACATGAAGATTTAAAGCCCTGGATATTTGCAATGGCTAACTAGGTACGCAAAAATTTCCAAATGCTTTGGTTAGACACATTATTTTGCCATTTGCGTAAATTGTAATGGTAACATTATGATAGATATTCAATTATGAATGAATTGAGTAACGTGATTGAAACCCAAAACCGTAGAAATAATGATAAGTAATCCATAATGAGTAACGACAAAGTAAAAGTCACATTCACTCTTACAACTGAGTTGGTGTAGGTGTACCTAAGTAACATGAATTAAATACTTTCTTCGTTTTGTGATTACTTTTACAGTACCTACCAAAATAATTTGACAGTATCGACATGTATATTTATTTATATTTTACATGTATTTTATTCTAAATTCTCCAAGATGGCATCCAACCCTGTCTGGACTTTACGGCGCTGTCTGAAAGAACAGTATTTATTATAAAATATAAATTATGAGACCTTAAGTTATAGATCTATCTCACGTTTTCAATACAGAGGATCAATACGTTTTACACAATAAGTAAGTAGATACCTTATGCAGAGTGCATGCACGCCACGTAGGTAACATCTTGTTTCCATATCTACATAATTATTCAACATGTTTGTATCCATCCGTTTTATATAACTTTAATACGATCCAATGTACTTGTTACACTGCATATAAACGCGCTTTTCTATCAGGATAGCAATGCACTGCTATAAAATGGGTCTCTGTAGAAACGTCCCGAGCTGCGGCCCTACATAATAATATGTGGTATGGTGGTATTTTAGCATGATAGATAGTATTACCGTGGTATAAGTATGCAGGTTATAGGTAAGTAGGTATCCATAAACAAGAATACGCACTTTTACTGGGTAGGTACTACTGCTATCTACTAAACTAAAACTTTGATTTAAAAAGTAACAATGGCAATTTGTAAGACTGCTAATGAATATACCTAACCGATCTTTCATTAACACTGATATAATACAGGGTTATTCAAAACGATGGTCATCAAAATGAAATGAAATTAGTCTGCTTCTCTTCCAGGAATGTTTATAACATCACCATCAATATCTCTTCTTATAAATAAACTCTTGTAGGCGTCCATGCGGACGCCAGAACGCGTAAAATTGTTTTGATTTAATCTAATTCGACAAAACAGCTTTTCAGACACCCTAGAGACTACTCAGACTCAGACAAAGATGTTAACGATAAAACCTATGCAATCAAAACGCAACTGGGTCCTGTGTAAAGAGACGCAACCTTGTTAAAACCACTGACATTAAAGTAACCAGCGTCAGATTTCCGATAAAAATTGCTTACACATACGCACCAAGTGGGAAATTCATCAACGTGGGCCTGTCTTCCGGTCGTAATACACTCGAGAGTTACGATCCAACGTATCTGCGTTTAATGATAATCGAGGGAATCACTGGTAAGTATTATAATCACATGGTTTGTGCATTTCTTCAGCGTGCGAATGGTCGGGTGGGGCAAGCGCCGCGTATTTTTACTCGGTGACGTCAGGAAGTCGGCCTCTGCATGTTGTACGGTCATGAAAAGAACCGAGCGACGCGTCGTAGCGGGAAATGAATTGTTTTCATTGACTGGTAATTAAATACAGATAAATATGGCAACAAATACATAACAAAGTAATAATATTACTTAATTGAAGTTTTGCCGATGCAAAGAAAAAACAATAACATTTGTGTAGAGTCAAGAAAGTGCAACTTCATCGATAAAGTAATAAAAAATGCGTCCCTAATTAAGATTAAGGATGCAATTTTTAGGTAGGATTTAGGGTGGCTGAAAAAATACAAATAATGTAAATATTGTTGTGACTATCATTCAGCGTGTGCGTCGCGCTGAATGCGTGGCCATACGATACCGCCAAGGTCCATCGTGGTGGCCATGTCAACAGATTGGTCTCACAGCTGTTCAAATACAGAACAATATTTTATCAAGCGCAATAACTACACAGGTTTCATCAATATAACCTGATTATGAAATCAGTTTCATAATAAAATCTGAAAGTACTTGTACCTAGCAAGATTTATCTCAAATAGTAAGTGAAGAAATTTTAGCAATTAGGTACATGCCATTCTTTTACGAATAGGGGTGAATTAGTCAAACGCACTTCAGAATGAGACCTAAACTCAACGAATATAGGTGATGCCCATAATTTAAAGATAGTGAAATAGTACAGGACGATTAGAACTTGGTGCGAGACAGGTATGACAGATTCACGTGCGCCGTCGGGCAGCACGTGAGCAGTAAACTTGACATTTACATGATTATGTAACACCTAGCACATTCCAGTGTTATGTCAAATAAAACAGATTTGAATATAGTAGTATCTTGTTTATTAGTCAATTTTTAACAGCAATTATAAGTGATAAGTTAAATGTCTCTTGTCACTACACAACTACATAATAAACTCTAGCCACCATGTCACAGAAACATAGCCTCATATTCACAATAATAAAGCTACATTTCATGCACATGTCCAACATAATTGCCAATTCCAAGTTTCCAATGAAACTTAAAACTTACAATCACTGTCATCAAGTATTTACATTATAAAAATATTTACAACTTAATCAGCATTAAATACAATACACACTTCAGTCTCACTTAGCTCTCCGTACTAAAACGCATGGAGTCTACCCAATCAAACTAAATTTGGCTAGCCATTCTTACAACAGTTACAATCAGTAAAGTAATTAGGCAACATAAATGAGTAAGTTCCTACAACAACACTAGTAGGAATGTCCCATCACTAGCTTTGAGCATATAAACCAAATGTTTCTGACAATTCTTCCTGTACTTCTCCAAACATTCACTTGGATGAATTCTGGTTCAACAAAGTCATACCAAAGGCCTTCAAGTATGGCTTTCTCAGACCTAGTTTGAAAGGAACTTCTGTCAGAACCACCATTATACACTGAAATCCATACTAATGAGATATCCAGTCTGTTAATTAATTGGGTAGAGTATCCATAAGAATTTCTTTTGTTCCTTGTGAGAGACGGTCAGGGAATTTGATGTCGAAAACAACTAGCAAGTCTCCTTTCCGTGTTGGTTCCTTGGGTAAAGGTAGACCATATCCAGGGAACCTCTTCACCGTGTGTGGTTTCACTACTTCAGCTTGAAGATTCACTGTCAGCTTCTCGCCCGACATGGTTGGTACTTCAATGATGGTACCACAAAGAGCCTGAAACAAACAAACAACATTGGTTATCATTATGTTACAATTGGATACAATATGTACAACCCTAGTTGCCACAACAACATATTTACCTAATAAAATGAAAACAAGTTTAACAAAGGGCATTAAATACACATTTATAAATTTGCACAACTAGTGGAAAGTACTAGACAATTCTAAAGGCTGTCAACATATTAGTCATCAGCAGGTCAATCAAGACCTTTCTAGAATCAAGTGTTGGCATAATGGATGCTTCATTATCAGTATTTAGTAAACAACAGACACTAACACAATGTGTAATCAGTGTCAGTAAACCAGTTATCAAGTCTTGATGCTTACCTGTTTCAATGAGATCTTTGCTGAATATCTGATGTCACTGCCTTCCCTCTTGAACAATGGATGTGGTTTATCTCTGATGATGAACACTATATCTGCTGGGATCTTGTTGCGTCCCTGGTCACCCTCTTTCTGGAACGTGATCTTAGTGCCAGCCTTCCAGCCAGGTTTCACATGAATTGTTAGAACTTTGTCTTCCTTCTTAGCAGTTCCATCAGGCTGCAGAACACGACGAGATATTTTCATCTTTTTCACACAACCGCGCGCAATATCCTCCAGGGACACATACAAGTCGTGTTCAATAGGCGGGTCTTGAGTTTTCTCCTTACGGCTGGGCGATCCGTGGAAGTTAAAACTGTGACTGCGGAAAGCACCACCGGGGCCGCCAGGTCGAGCTGTTCCCATTCCCATATTCGCGAATGGGTCCATGTCTACATCCATGTCGCGATCGAAGAACATAGTGGTGCCTCCGCCGCCACCGTTCATATCGAAGAATGCTTGGAATGGACTGGCTGATCCGAAGAACTGTGCGAATGTCGCCCTCGGGTCCCCGTGGAACGTGTACGAGAACGACTGGCCGCCTCCAGGACCATTGTGGGATCCCATTCCGCCCTTGAGTCCCTCCTCACCATGGGCATCGTAAATCTCACGCTTCTTCTTGTCTGATAACACTTCATACGCCTCAGCTACTTCTTTGAACCTCTCTTCGGCACCAGCTGCCTTGTTCTTGTCCGGGTGGTACTTCAGTGCCAGCTTACGGTACGCTTTCTTTATGTCGTCATCAGAGGCGCCTTTGGAGAGTCCCAATATTTTATAGTAGTCTTTACCCATTGTGATTCCTTATCCTGGAACAAAAAAACATTTTCCGTTAGTCTTAACGTCTGACACCATTTTAGGAAATGTAGAGCAATGATCCGCACTATTTAAATTTAAGATTTTTTTGGAAATACAAACACAAACAACTTAATTCTAGTTTTGGATATATCTTACAGTAATTATAGAACACTTACCTAGTCAGTAAAAGCTTCAAATATAATCCAAGTAGTTATAATTAACGATTTTTGGTATTTCTCACACACAACACTTTTCACACCTTACTGTATCAACTTCACGTTTCAATAAAACGCTGCGCCGTCGTTGCGCCAAAATATATACATTAAAACGTCTAGAACGTTCTAGGGCCTTCAACCTCTGTAAAAACGAGACAAAATATGAAATCCAATAGCGTCACTTGGGAGTTAGACAGAGATGCATATAAATTTCGTCGTTCAGGACTACAGAAAGTTGGAGAGTTCACGTCATTTATCACGTTCCGATTAGGGAGGCAGTATGTTCTCTATGACGTTTTAGTTTTTGTTGTTATTCGCGGCTTGTTTTCGTTGCACTTTTGATTATTATTAAAATTAGAAGCAAAAAACAAATTTTATCTCAACAAAAAGTAGCAACAGATATGTATATAACGGAGCGTTTAATGGAATATAGTGAAATTAATTATATTTTTGGTTTGTTTTGTTGTCCTTCATAGGTTTACCTGTAACACAACTTTTTTCTGTAAGTTTTTCTTGGTGATTGTCTACTTACCTATTGGTGATTCGTAAAATAACTAACATATTAATTATGTTATAAATATAGCATATAACTGTCCCACTGCTAAGCTTAGAAAAGGCCTCTTCTCACACTGAGAAGGAAAGATAATTTGGAGTATGGCATATAAAGTCATCATAATAGCATTTATAGTATTTACAAGTTTTCTTACGGCGCCCATTTTTTTTTAACCTTTAACAGCAGCTAGACATGTTTACAATAACCTTGTAACTTGTAAAGATCTGTCTGTATCTTTCCAGTTGGTAATTTTCATTTTGGCACTTTTTTCTTTATTATATTTAATTTGTTAGTATTTATACTTGTTTGAATTGTATATTGTAGTATTTAAAGATAAAGACTGATTTGCACCAGAAAAAGTATAGCAAGTTAATATAGCCTGAATACTTAATTGACACCCTTGAAGAATTAGTACCTATGATATAAAACGTCAACGTGTGTATTTGTTGTGATTTGAATTGTTATTGTATATTAATGATTTGTTTTGTTTATTAATATTTTATTCCATAATGTGATGTCGTCGTGGTGGCCTTGAGATTAAGGTACCCGCTTCTCATGCATGAGGGTGACGGGTTGCAACCCGTCTTGTACCAATGTGACTTTTTCTGAGTTAAATGTAGTTTCGATGATAATTTAGACAATTCTGGCATACGGTGAAGGAAAACATAGGGTCAGTGGGTCATCTTAGGGGCGGATGAGGTTATCTTTTTTTTTTGTCAGGGGAAAATCTTCCAATGACTTCTCCCGCCCAGGGTAAGGCGAGAGAGAGTGTCAGACTCTTACTGACTAAAAACCCCCCGTTCCTTCTCCTGCCCTGGGCCGAGGTCGCGGTGCCTCATTGTGCTTACCCCGTAGCCCCGGCTGGATGAGGATATCTGGACTTATAATTTCTAATTATAAGTTTGAAATCGCTAATCCGCCTTGAACAAGCGTGGTGATTAATGCTCAAACCTTCTCCGTGTGTGGTCTTTGCTCAGTAGTGCTGTGGGCATATATAGGCTGATGATGTGATGTGAATCCAGAGAGAGTATTTATTTTTCTACGTTAACGTTCATAATTGGAGAGAAAAGCGTTTTTACAATGATAAATATAAACAAACAATAATGTAGCAACATTTTTCTGATAGCAACATAATAGGCTCCTCCCCTCGTCCTTGGACCGCCTTTGATTTTGACAGTGACAACTACCTAGTACCTGACCAATACCTGACCACCTGTCAAATTAGCGTCAAATGTCATGTTTGTAAATTATATTTATATTGCTAATGTTTGTACTTCGTGTAATTTTTTTTGTAAATGAAACAAATATAACTTTTAAGTCAAGTGTTTATTTATCTAGTAAGTCGTAAGAATAACGCGTGCCGGCAGCCTTTGTAATCTATGTCGTAGTACTTTTCGTAAAAGTCTTGTATGAGCTCTTCCACCTGTAAACAATGTCAAACGATATAATATTGCAAAACAAATGTGCGGCGTGCAGCGAAATTGCCCACGAACCGTTTATAGAGTGTGTCGAATGTGAAATTAATTTATGTACGGCATGTTTCGCCTCCGGTCAGGAAGTGGGAAGTCATAAGAACGATCACAAATATGCCGTGCGGAGGAATGACTTTCCTTTGTTCGACAACTGTAATTGGTCGGCTAAAGAAGAATGTAAACTACTCTCAGCATTGTCAATATACGGCTATGGAAATTGGGAAGAAATATCTAAAAGTGTACACACGCGTTCTAAACTCGAATGTCAGGAGCATTACAAGAAATATTACATAGAAAATGTTCAGTACAAAGACCTTAAGTTATTACCTGAAACGGAACAATCTTTGTTTCCAAAACCTGTGATCCCTTATTTATATAGTACAGAAATTTGTAGTAACCCACCCAGGAATAACAATGCAGATCAACATTTGGCTGGATACAATGCTTACAGGTCTGAATTTGAATTAAGTTATGATCACAATGCAGAAAGCATATTCAATATAGAGGATAGTTATTCTGACGATGATGGAGATGAGGATGATGAAGATTGCATGGATTCTTTGAAAGTGTCTCTAGTCAGTTCTTTGAACACTAGGCTTAGAGAGAGACGGAGAAGATATAAGGTGATACAGCACCATGGTCTGATCATGCCAAACAAATTGATATCCTGGTTACAGAAGTTTGAGCCAACACTATCTAGGCAGAAGTGTGATAGACTAGTCTCCTTTATGCAGTTCATGACAGGAATGCAATTTGATGCATTCATGGAATCAATCAGTTTGGAACAAGAACTCATGCAGAAACTGACACGGCTGTCAGAGTATCGGAGAAATGGCATTAGGACATTGTATACAGCAAAGTTGTACAGACAGTTGAAAAAGGAGAATGATCTTATTGTTAAAGAGCAGAAGCATGCTACAAGTATAATGGCAAAGAAATATGACAGCCAGTCGCCTGTGAAGAACTCAATGGTATATGGTAGGAACAATCAGCTGCTGAAGTACAAAAGAACTTCAATGCCACTGGAGATAGTGGACCTACCAGGGTTCAATTTACTCTCAGACACAGAGAAAGTGTTGTGTTCTAATCTACGGCTGGTGCCTGAGAATTATCTAGAGATTAAACACCAATTAATTACACAGAACAGTAAGATGGGCTTCCTACGTTTACTAGATGCCAGGAGAATAGTTAAAATAGATGTAAACAAAACTAGAAAGATCTATGATTATTTGTTGTATGAAGGTTTTATATCTAAGCCACAGTAATAAATAAGCATAACATTTTGTATTCATTATTTTTCTTTTATTTTAGAAATGGTACCCCCTCCCTTATTTCGGGCTGATTTGGTTATTTCTATGAAAGAAATATTTTGAATTATTTGACTGCATAGACATCATTTAGAAAACTATTTTTTTATAGTTTTGTAGTTAGTAACAACTTTCCAAGTGATGAACTTTAATTTGTTTGACAAACGATTACCTATAACCAGAAGGCAACTAAATACAAATTTATAAAGAATAACATAATACATAGTAGGTACTCACTTTGAAACCAAACTTCTGATATAGAAATATGGCAGGATTGGTGGGTGATACATGCAGTGTGACGTCTTTGCCTGTACAAGTCTGTAAAATACAACTTGGATTAACATTTGCCTTGCTTTAAGAGCTGCTGTTTGTTTTTTCTTGGTATTACTATTTCCATACCTGTAGTAAGTGATACAACATGAAGGTGGCTATCTTGGCGTTCCTCCACTCGGGACGCGTGAGTATGAAGGAGATGTAGGCCTCGTTGTGGTTGACGTCAGGCACAAGGAATGCGCAGCCAATCACCAGCCGCTTGTATGTAACGACACAACTAAATTCTGGATACTGGAGCGCTTCCGTTACTGTTGAGAAACATTTACAGGTTTTTCGGTTTATTATTGTTCCGACATTACTTTCCAGTTACTACTACTTAAATTAAATTTCTACTTACAATCAATACCCGGCCAGAAGAACTGTGCGCAAAGATTGTTGATGGCGGCGATATGCTGTGGTCTCACGTAAGAGTAGTCTATGGTGGCACGTGGAGGAGGCTCGTAGTCCTTTATGTGTCTATATACATATAAAAATAAAGTCTGTTAATAAAATACATTTTACGGATCAACTAAAATTCGCGGGTTACTCACGTGTAAATGTTGAGAAAAGCTCTACTAGTTTCGAACCACAGAGGGGTTCTTCCTCATGAGCAGCATGCGCGTACTCATAGGCTGCGCGACGTCGCCGCGTACGCGTACCCCTCTGTGGTTCGAAACTAGTAGAGCTTTTCTCAACATTTACACGTGAGAAACCCGCGAATTTTAGTTAATTTAGTATGTCCCACGATAGTTATTATAAAAACATTTTACGGATCGACAGATATGATAAAATTCGCCTAATTCGCCTATTATTTTATTATCCACGAGTAGAATTTTGGTCTATTATTGGTATTGCAATTATTCGTAAAAAGTTCTTCATACTTATTAGTTCTCCTAAGAAGTTCGTCAGTAAGTTTCAACCACGTTGGGGCGGAGTCGCCATCCCGCCGTATATAGGGCTTCAGCGTGGCTCCGGAGTATAAAGACCGGTATGGCGTCGGCTCAATGTTTGACAGAAGCAAAGTTCCGTAGTTTGGACTGGCTATTGTTCCACTAAGATTATCCATCAGATACTGCAAATAAAATATTTTTCTTATACAATACAATTTCATTCATTTTTAATATAAACAAATCTATTTATTCAAACAAGTCATCCATATATGTCTGTGTGAAAGCCAATTGCGCTGGAATGTAGGGATACAGTTAAGTATGTTTTTCTGTAAAAAGTAAACATTACATGGTACACTGAAAGATTTTAATTGGTTCAGTCTTTATGAAAGTTTTTATTTAGTGTATGTGGTATACAAATAATATGCTATTGTTGTTGTAATATTAGTAACATAGTTAAGGAGAAAATACTTTATATAGTGCTCTTACCGATCTCTGGAATCGATCAAGTACTCTTTCTGAATTGATCACGGTCCTCGGGTCTTCGCTCATGTAACCACCAAGTATTTTGACTTCTCTGAAAATTTAAACATTATTAGGCGCGTTTTACTGCAAGCATTAGTGAAAGAAGAAAGACAACCATGGGCCTGATTACGAAACCTTATTATATCTGAATGCACATTTTTCCAAAAGTTTTATTTTTATGGAATAGCAGGCAAACGAGCAGACGGATCACCTGATAGTAAGGAACGGCGCCGCCCTGCAACACCAGAGGAGTCACAGGTGCGTTGCCGGCCTTTATATTATCTATGTATATTTTTCTTACAATACTTTTTATTTTATTTTTTCCGGCGGCGGTATTCCCGATCCGATACGACCTTCAAACCTTCAAGAAACGAGCATATTTCTTCTTAAAAGGCCGGCAACGCACCTGTGACTCCTCTGGTGTTGCGGATGTCCATGGGCGGCGCCGATCGCTTACCATCAGGTGATCCGTCTGCTCGTTTGCCACATATTCCATAAAAAAAAAATGTTTTTGTGGCTAGTATTCATATAACACTTACTTATCCAAATCAAAGACGGGCAAATGTTTATGTCTCTTCAAGCGCCTCAGTGCTAATTTAGCTTTGAGTCTACACAGATACCCCTTCTTATTCGGATCCTTGACCCTGAGGATCAAATTCTCCACCTTCTTCAGAAGCTGTATTTCCTCATACTGCGTCATTTCAACTAGATCAGGTTCTGACTTGGGGAGTGGGTCTTCCCAAGGATTATCTACAGAATTGAGCTCAGTGGAGAATAGGGACTCCCTTCTGATAGGCATTTCGTCTGTGACCGGCTTTTTGGGTCTTTCGAAGGTCTTCTTGGTCTCTAGTTCGGAACCACTGCGCGAGTGGGAGTCTGAGTCGTACATCATTGATGGTTGGAACGAATGGATGCTTGAAGTGTCGCTCTGAAAGTAAATAATATTTTGTAATTATTTTTTTCTTCAAGATGGTTCACTATGGAGAAAATAATTTTAGGTTCACTTCCAAGGTTGATGATCTTTAACAATTATGGAATTGTGTTAGTAGTCTAAGTCCTTTCTTACTTAGGACTTGTAATAAAACAGTGAAAACTGGATAGAAAATTACATAATAAATATAGGTAATACAGTCGTTTTCTCTGTTTTTAGTTAGTTAGAACACTTACCTGTACTGGTACTAATCGGTTTGAAGGTGCAAATTCGAACCCTTGGAATTCCAAGTCGGAATAAGGATCTTTATGAGTCAATAGGTTCATCTGGTCATCGAATACACATTCGTCTGCCAATTCATTCCTAAAAAGAAATTATAAGATTTTAGACACTTGCAAAAAGAGCTTTGCCATTTCAATTGAACATTTATATAAATAATGTTGTGGTGGCCCGGAGGTTAAAGAGCCAGCTTCTCATGTATGAGGGTGCGGGTTCGAAACCTGGCAAGTACCAATGTGACTTTTTCCAAGTTATATAACTCTATGATTATTTAGACACCACTGACATATGGTGAAGGTAAACATCGTAAGGAAACCTGGACTTATAATTTCTAATTGTAAGTTTGAAATCGCCAACCCGCATTGAGCAAGCGAGGTGATTAATGATCTAACCTTCTCCGTATGAGAAGAGGCCTTTGCTCAGCAGTGGAAGCTGATGATGACAAATCCACCAATATTATAAAGCTGGAGAGTTTGTTTGTTTGTTTGAAAGCACTAATCTCCAGTACTACTAGTTCGAATTGGGTAATTCTTTTCGTGTTTGTTTTACATTTATTGAGGAAGTCTTTAGGCAATAAAACATGACGCTACGATTTGTAGAATACGAGCAGCGAGTGAAATAGCGCGACAGAATCTAGTATTCTATAAAATGTGGACTCATTTTGATTTCTATTGCTCACTAAACAGGTTAAAAAGAAAAGTTTTAAGCTAACCATGACATGTCATGTAAAAGGGATTATGTTACCTGCCATCTGAATCTTGCTGGTCATAGAATGAAGTGCTAGAGACTCCGCTCAGTTCATCCGAGTCAACCCTTCTCTTCTTGCATGGTACAGGTTCTGGGTGCAGTGGCATACAGACACTGTTTTCATCATTGATCAAGTCTTTATATCCTGTTAACATATCGTATATTAACCTTTCAATTGAAGAACAATATGTGTATACTTGGGGTGTGATTATGTTGAAACTTAATTTGGAGAGATGTGAGTTTCATATAAAAAGGAGGCACTAGTTTCTGCCAGCAGTTACACCTGCAGTGCTAGGGTAATAAGTAGCTGCGGCATAATCTGTCTCTCTGATCTGTTAAGTGCTTTTTTTGTAAATGAGTAACAAACATCCATCAAAACCTACAATAAAATTTCGTGTTTATTACATAAGTAGGAACTTTCCTTTTCATTCACAAATTATTAATTATACCTTTTTTTCATTGAATTTTGCTAGTCATCAAATGAGAACCACAGGACCACCAGAATGACAAGTGAGAATCTCTGGCTCTTTCTAACTGAAAAGCACTCTTTTCCTGCTCCTGCCCTGCCCTGGGGCCTTGGTAAAACTCTGGTTGAAATAATTATAGGCACTGTAAACTTTAACCTGATTTTTAAGTAGTAATTTTCGAACTGAAAAAACTGCACTGATATTTTTGGGATTCAAGTTACAATAAAGTGTTTTCTGAGGAAGGTTTAAGAGAAGTAATAGTTCTGCATTATTAACTAATCAATACAGGCAACAAGGTGAATAAAGAATGTTAGGATATAGGATGGAAAGCAAAAAACAACTTACCCATTTCAGTGACTTTGGCTAAGAAGAGATTTCTATCTATGGACACCTGATTGCGTGGTCGAACTTTGGGTCTGTCCTTTGCAACTTCTTGTACTGAAACACAAAATGAAACCAATATTAGGTGGGTATCTCTAGGCTAGTTTGTCAATAATAAATCACAACATCAGATCACAAATTGAGGAAGCTGATTTATATCTAGAAAGTTGTTGACTGCACAGTTACTGTGTTGGCTGGGCAACTGGCTGTGGCACAACGTGTTCCGGGTTCGATTCACGCATTGATCAACTTTTTGTGTGTTGTTGCCATCCACAAATTGTTCCAGAGGGCCTACTATGACGTGTTAAAGAGTGAATCTTTCGGGCGAGAAAGAGGAACGGATCTATACATCACTTATAGCTCCATCCCTCTTTCTCCCCCTTTATGGTAGGCCTACTTGTCTGGGTGTCATGTGTATTGGAAATTATAATTGTATACAACACAGGAGAAAATCAGAGGGTAGGGTAACATTTTTTTTATAAATTTGTTTACTTACCGATTTGACTAGCCACAGCAGGTGAGAAATTGTGCAGAAGCTTCCACCAGCCAGTCTCGCCGAGTACAGCTGAACCAGACTTGAAGAATAGCTTGTTGTATACTGACAACACTCCTGCTATGGTGCCCACCCAGTTCTTTTTCTGTTTGCTGTGAGAAAGTAAATCATTATTGTTTTGTTGTTTTAAATATTGCATGCAAATTAAAATTAATTTTGGTTTTGTCATCCAATAACTAAGTAATAGTTGTATTTATTAAGGCATAGGTTTAGGAATAAAATTTTGATTATGATGATTATTTCTTATGCACCATTTAAGTAATTATTATTATTTGAAGTAAAGGGCACTATTTTATCTATATTCCAAGTGGATAGAATGCCATATAAATAAATAGCATATCAAGTTAGAAAAGATAATGTACTTACATTTGCGATCCAAATAGTGCCTGCCAGTACCGATCAATGAAGGAGCAGATATGGGTCTTGTAGTGGAAGTAGCCATGGTTGCTGATGCCGTACGACTGGATGTTCAAGTGGTGGAGGGTCAAATATATCACGCTAACCCTACAAAAATAAAAAAAGGCTAAGAAACCTCCACAAATTTCGTTAACCTTTAAAAAATGAGGAAGTGGTTTATTTACCAGGGAAATCTGTTCCTTTTGAAGATCTCTTTGTTGGTTGGAGAGCAGTCTTCGCAAACGAAGTCGAAGAAAACATCGCAAGCAAAATCGCCCGGGGTACTAGCTCTCCGAAGGCAGTTAATATGAACGTAGGAAAAACAATTCCCGCACACAAGACTAGGTCGATCCTGTTTGTTTTCCAGCTCGCTGCAATATTTACATGCTGTGCTCAATGAACTCATCACAGCATCTGGTATAACAACATCACCTTCTTCCGCCGGTACTGCCATGATTTAATGCAACGAGCAGCAATAACAAATCTAAACCAAACAAACAAATTCAAACAATCAAACTTAACCTCAATGATGTTGATGACAATGACAGATGACAGCCACTAAATGTCAATGAATGAAGACAAAATTGGCAACTTTTTCTCAACGCACAAGATTGTGGACAATAAACAAAACATTAGGGTAAGTAAAAAAATCTAGGAAGGTCTGAGACAAAGATTAATAACATAATAAATGTGCGATGTTTACATATTCTTTACATTAACATAATACTATTTATATATTTGAAATTTTTTAACAATAATTGTTTTCATTTTTTTTGGATTCACATATACATGACTTCCAGATCCTGAACAACAATTTTGTTGTTTACCCAAAGAGTTGTTTCATGCGGGTATCGCACCCGCGACATATTGCACTATGTTGAAGATAGAGGTAGGTACGTATCTACCTAATATCGAAAGATATCGCATAACTAGTATTGGGCTTCCGGTAACCTCACTCATACGGAGAAACACACCGCTGTGGTTGTTTCACGTCGATTTTCTGTGAGGTTGTAGTATCACTCCGGTCGAGCCGACCAATTCGTTCCGAAGCATTGCTCTCTCACATTTTTTTTCTTCCCACAGTTTTACGGCTATTTGTAAAAGAGGATCAAATAAAACCAAATAATAAGTCACATTAGTTAACAATTTATTAATATAATATTTATACATAACAGTCAAAAATCACATTGTTTAAAATCTACGTGTTGTCGCCAATTGTTCTTTGAACTCTTGTATCCACCTGCTGATGTGTTGCTTGTGAATATTCCTCGCTATCCTTACTGGTTCTGGATCGCTGGGGTTACTGGGCATTAGGTCCAAGTGATGGGCCGCGTCCACTATTACCACAGCTCTCACCGAGTCATTTAAGCTGTCGAGGATACCTCCTGCAAGGAGACAAATTATTATTGGTAGGTAAATAAACATATTTAAGTAAACCTGTTTGGTTGTTTAATTTTGTGGGATTCATCGTAATAAATAGATCACCGAAATCGAAATCGTGGAAGAGTCTGTGATTTGTTTTAATTTATTTGGAGTTGGAAATTATACCTACCTATCAGAATATATTGCTCTGTAAGCGTTTATGCTTAAGTTACAAAGAGACATAATTTTACCTCCAGTCCAAGGATCCCTAAGTCCATTACTGAATACAATGTTAGAAGATGCCTGTAGCCTGTTCCCACCATACTCGAGCCTCGCCATCTCCACTCGAGGGTACACGTTGTACTTCTTGTGACAGGCGTCAGCAAACTTCGTGAAGTTCCATGGTTCTGGCTCAAACATGTCGTTCACTCCATCCGCACACATCGGCATCACCATTTCTGTGCACGCCTTTAAAAGAAAAAAAAAAACGTGTTAAATATTTACTATAATCCAGATAGAGCGATAAAGGATATCTAAGAGTCTCACGGCCTCACAGAAAACCGGCGTGAAACAACCACAGCGTTGTGCTTCGCCGAGTGAGTGAGGTTACCGGAGGTCCAATCCTTCCCCTCCCCCAATCCCTCTTCAATCCCTAAATCTCCAAATCCCAAATCCCTAATCCCTAAACGGTCGGCAACGCTCCCACTCGTAACTCCTCTGTTGCGGGTGTGCATGGGCGGCGCTGCTTGCTTACCATCAGGTAATCCGTCAGCTCGTTTGTCGACCATAACATACCACATAAATAACCACATAACCACATAAATAAATAAAAATAAATAAATAAGTAGTCTTGTGTGAAAAGTTTAAATGTGTGGAAAGTTTGAAAATGGCTCAATATAGTTGTATTGCCAGCGTCCTAAATTCTGTGTCCTATTTTCAAAAAATCGAAAATAATCTGAATTATTTGAATTAAAATTTAATAACGAAGCAAGGCTTTAATAACTGGAATATCCAATTATTTAAATTGAAAATACAATGACACTTGTTGTAAAAGTAGATAAGTACCTGAAAGTCCCACCCAGCAGCGTCCAAGTTACCGTAGTCATCGCCTTTCATGAAGTCAACGCATTTATTTTTCTTCTCATAATTTGTATAAATGTCAATAACTTTTCCTATAGCCTGGAATTATATAACAAACTCATTTAATTGTTTTTATTGAAAATAACAACGTACAGAACGTACGTACGTCAGAACGGGACTCTTATTCATGACGAGCATGTATTATAAATTTTGTTTCGGACGGTAGTCAACTACCTACTAATAAAAAACACTAAAATGTGTTTTTAATTTTTTAAAGTGCATCTATAAAATTTTCATCTATTTCTAGTATGAAAAAAATCTGCAAAAGAATGTTTTTTTTTCTTTATTGATTTATGCCATTTGGCTATTAATATTCCTGCTAATGTCTTACCGCTAACAATTTGTCTCCGGTCAAAGTTTGATTAAGATACTGGCAGACCACTCTAACAGGCTCGGCTGGTAGTGACGTCAGAAAGTCCGAGGCGAAAGGATAGTTCACCATGGCCAGTGAGGAATACATGGATTGCAGGAACTCCATCAGAACCTCTAGATCAGTCGCATTCTTGACTGGCGTGCAGAGGTTGAACGCTTTGCGAAGTGCCTCCGACCCGTTGGCAGTTGAAGAGAACTGCCTATCATGCAAGATAATACAATTATGTATTGTTTATATTTAAATGTACAAGATTTTCTCTCCATGGAGGAATTAAACTTATCTATGGTCTAAGCTTCTCACACCCTGGGTGCAGCGCAGCGGCCCAAGCCTGGAGTAGGAAAAGGAACGTGGTGGCTTTTAGTCAGTAAGAGTCTGACGCTTGCTGCCCCACCCAGGTAGATAGCCTTAAAAAAAGGCATTTAATAACCAACCTAATAACACTCCAAGACTGCTTGATGTTGCTAGAACAATGAGTATTGACGGATCTGAAGCTGGAAGTCACGAGTCTGTTGAAGACTCCGCAGGGAGCCATCCCATTGAACATGTGGACTGGTGCAGAGGCTGCGATGGCACCGTTCACGATATGGGGATACTTGATACGGAAGTATGCTGCCAACATGCCACCGTACGACCCTGGGAATTAAAGATCGATTTAGCAGATTTAGCGCCCAAAAATAGTTATTTACACCCAAGAATATCAGCGCTTCGCACCCATACCAATCATAATCTTCTATCTCTTTTATACGCATGAAATATTTCTGCCCATTTTTCTGTATTGCTAAGTATTGCTAATAAAAAAACACAGCTGTTCAAATTCGGCCAGTTTCGTTTGTATTGGTTATGGGTTAAAATTACAATTGTGAAGTTTTAAAACATTATTTCTCTTTAAGGAAAAATAAGCAGGTCAATGTATCTAAAATTCTAAAGTAAATAAATAAACAAACAAAAGATCTAGGTAATGTGTACCAGGAAGAATAAAAAAATACATTTCTGATTGTGTAGTATACATATAACTATTAAATTGCCTACCTCCAAAAGCAACAACAGGGTATCTGGGTTTGATGACATTTCCCTGGAGGTAGTTGATCAGGTCTGCGTAGTCAGCTAGCGCCTGTGCTGACGATAGATACCCAATATGTTCATTGTCTAGAGACTTGTTACCGAAGGGCATTGAAGCTCCATAGTATCTGGAAATTAAGATATTTTACTTATATTTAATTTTACTTATTTCGTTCGCGTGGACTTCAGGTTCGTCCCGTCTAGTCTAGTAATAAGTAAGAAATACGGTAACTAAGCACTGCAGAGCCCTAATCATGGGTCTATAGGTAGATACTGCAGTATGCTCCTATAAACTACATTTAACGATCTTTTTCCTTCAGCATAAACATGCAGATTCTTCGCTTTGGAAACGTAAGCGCAAAAAATGTGTTTTTTTACGACCTCACATTAGAAACCTCAAAAATTTTAGCCTATGTGTTATTCTGATGTATAAGCTATATTGTGGTAAAGTTTCATTCAAATCCATTCAGTAGTTTTTACGTGAAAGAGTAACAAACATCCATACATCCATACTTACAAACTTTCGCCTTTATAATAGTAGTAGGATAGAGGAGTTAATTATCATCATCATCATCAGCCTCATTCCGTTCTCTGTGAGCTCTACTGAGCTCTTCTTAATCAACCACGGCCAGGTAACCTGCGGATATCGTCAGTATGCCTTGCAAATAAGGGAATGACTAAGGAGTTAATTATGCCGTGAAAAGGACGAAATGTGTGATTAAAAGACCCCACAGTTTCGACATGATTGTTTAATGATATGTAAAAAGATTGAATTGAAGTGACAATAGAGTGCAGCACCGATAGCTAATGAAGATGGCGTAGATATCTTAAATTAGATACCCATGTACTTGTATTTTTTTTACGGGTTATATTATAATGCTTTCTATGATTATTGATTATTTAGACACCACTTACACAAGGAGAAGGCGCATCGTGAGGATGCCTGGACTTCTAATTATAAGTTTGAAATCGGCAACCCGCATTGAGCAAGCGTGGTGATTAATTCTCAAGCCTTCTACGTTCGAGAAGAGGCCTTTGCTCAGCAGTGGGCACTTATAGGCTGATGATGTGATGCTATACTACTTAGTTAATTATACGATAAACAAACACAGTCGTATATAGATCTCGCTGGGGCAAGAAGGATGGGTGTGTTATTATTTCTATGACTACGGAAATAAATGACCGCTAATATACCGCCTATGTGATATGGGATCCTTACTTTAAGAAAGACATTACACTCTTAGAAAGTGTTCAGAGAAAAGCTACCAAGATGGTCAGATTGCTTAAAAACAAACCCTATGACCAACGTCTGCACGAACTTGGCCTCACCACTCTTGAAAAGCGGAGACAGAGAGGAAACCTTATTGAGACTTACAAAATAATGAGTGACTGCTACAACGTTCCTGGACTTAAGAATATGTATCTTCTTAATAAAAATAGAAATTTGAGAGGACACTCATTAAAACTATGCAGAGCATCCTCAAAACTGAATCCCTTGACACACTTCCTACCTAATAGGGTGGTCACGGAATGGAATAAACTCCCAGAAAATGTGATAAAAGCACCCACAGATAATTCTTTTAAAAATAGACTCGACAACATCTCCAAATCAATTAATACGCACGCATCAGCTTTCTAAGCTGCTAGTGTATTCAAGTATATAATAATAATAGTATAATAGAGGAGCTTCTGCCAGCGGATTAAAACTGATGGGTTATTCCAAACTGTCATCTATCTATCTCTGAAAAATATTCAGACTTGTTCAGTAGTTTATACATGTTACAATAACAATGCAACAAATATCTATCAATCCATCCATAGATACTTACAAGCTTTCGCGTTTGTAATTTTAGGTACTTAGTAGGATAGATTTAGATCCCTGCATATACCTATTAATTAAATTTCATAAAGATAAATTAAAGACGTTCGACCTGTAATAATAACACAGGATTATTTATTATCTTGCCACTATTAAAAAAAAAGGTGGGATAGCTGACTTTGCATGTTTATCCAATCGGTTGCCTAAAGCGCATACTTTATTACCGTAAACACCACTTTGATTATTGATGATGATATCTTGCTTCTAGAACATCAATAAATGTCGAAATAATCCAAGTTCCACTCACCTGTGCTCTGCAAACACTAGTTTAGCTCTGTATTCCCTAGCAATCTCCCACATGAAACCCGTGTGCTTTGCGAAAACTTCTATTTGGCCCTGGAACATATAACGTTACGAGTTGTATTTAATTGATATTTAGTTGGTAAGGTTACTGCGGTGCCTCCCCAACTTAGGATCGCAAACGAGCAAACAGATTACTTGATGGTAAGCCATCGGCGCCGCCCATGGACACCCGCAACTATGGAGGAGTAACGCGTTGCCGACCTTGTGGGGTTTAGGAATTATTTGGAGATTTCGGGATTGGGGGAGAGAAAGGATTGGCTCTTCTACACTTGAATATTATATTTCGGGGATCATGCGATCAATGGTTCTTTACGAGCGACTGAATGGGATTTTTGCTCCACCCAGACCAGGGGGATCGTAGACGTAGAGGTCTGTGAAAATTAATTAATAATAAGTATATGCTGCTTATAATGTTATTATATTAATTTGTTCTTGGGAAGTCCCAATAAACTACCTATGCACATATCTATCTATAATAGTTAATACAAATATACTGTTTTAATACAAATATAAATACCAGTCTAAGTACATTACTTACTCATGAAATTGTTTATTGTTTGTTTACGTCTACTTTACAATACATTGTTATCTAATAATTTTCAATAACTTACTATCAGGTAATTACACAAATAGGCACTGTTAAATAGCTTACATTTCTTTTTGAATGTACCTACCTATTTATTTATTTATCTACTCATTGCACAATTAATGCACATGCAATTTGCACAGAAGTAGGTAAATTACAACTAACATAAATGTACCAACCACAAATTAACTTGCAACTATCTAGGTAACTAAACTAACTATTTAATTTTATTACTAAAACGGTTTAGTTTATCCGAAACACGTTTCCACGAATCCGTTTACACGAAAAAACTTTGTGGTTATAAGAGGTCGTTGAACTCTCTAACTGATGTTTGAGATCATACTCCAAGTTAGTAACCAACGTCTATTATTACCTGGTAAAGTTATTTACAATTGGAAAAGCTAACGTTCGCCATATTTTAGCGAAAATGTAAATACTTATAGCTGAATACTATTATTATAATTGATAAGCAAACATTCATTGTGATATGGTAACGATTGACACTAATAACCCGGCGTCCGATAACGGTCTACTGTAGCCACTGTAGGTTAACAACAGAATAATTATTTAGTTCATTACAGATGAAAAATACTAGGAACATAAATGTAACCTACTACATGTTTACAAAAAAAAAAAAAATGCGGCTGTATGCATAAGTAAAGAATTAAATTACTTTATTTAAGCAAAAAAATAAAGAAAACAAATGGAATCTGACTGAACTTGAAGAGAAACTATAATTTCGATTTAACTTTGTAAATAAAATACCTACATCTGCATTATGAAACTCTTGTAGGGTCGGAAAAGTGTTTACGATGACAAACTTGTGTTTTGTTCTAGGAAAACCGTACCTATACCTAAACATTAATCAGCGGTCACAGATTAGAAAACAAAAAGGTTTGTAATCTGTGTCAGCGGCATGCAGTTTTAACATTGCATTTGAAGTAAAGTAAACAAATATCTTTTTTTTCTTTCTTGAATGGCAACCGAGTCTCCAATTTAATGTTGTCGACTATACTGCCAGTGTCAAGTAGTGACGGCAGATTATAACAAATATCTTTTGCAACAAAAAAATAATATCAAAAAATTGTAGGTATAAGTAGGTAGGTTTGATACCGTAGTCAAAACAATGCGAGACAGTCAACAAAGTATTGCACAGTTGGCAAGAAACAGTAGGTAACATAACCACTACTAGGTTGTTTATTAAAAAGTTAAGAATTAGCACATTACGATTATTGGTTAAATACCTACTGCAGTTGATAGCTCAGACGATAAGTAGGTATCTACAATTTAGGTAGAAAGGCCATTAGAAATAGCTCACATTTTCAAACAAAGAATCACTTGTAGTAACACATTTAGCTACATTATTTCTTAGTTCTACATAATCAGAGATAATGCAAGCACTCTGAGTGACTCACCTCATTCCCGGTATAGAAGAAGATGGGTCCACTGCCTTGATCCCAGTTGTCATCATTAACCAAATACTTTATCTCAAAGGTTTCGTTCCTCTGAAATCCAAAATGGTCGAGTGGCACGCGAAACCATTTTGTTTCGAATTTGTATTCAGCCTGCACTATAACTAAGGACACCGCGATGTATAAAACTGTTTGAAACATGTTGATTTATTAGCACACGTCCATACTGTTTGGGTTTCAATATGATAATGAGTGATCTCGCTCGCCTACCAAGCGCACCTATACTAGCTTATGCTGTTTGTACACTCGTGTACACAAGTCGTGCGCTTGTATTTGCCTTTATTATTTCTCTCGTTATTTAAACCGGTGTGAAGTTTTGATGAGATATACAAATTGACTATGATATGTTTGAATCTCTGGCACTCAGATAGGCTTTTTGCTATACTAACACCCGATTTCTGAAAGGCTTGTCAACGCTAAAATTAACTAATCTCCTGTTAACTCTCTTGTCAAGTCATCTGATTGGTTGCTGATAATTCAGTCAACCAATCAGATGACTTGACAAGAAATTAAATTTTAACATAGATCGGCCATTCGGAAGCCGGGTGTAAGTAAATAATACAAATAGCTGAAGAATGGTGTAGTTAAATATTATTGGAATGTATTTGTCCACGTGAGACGTTCACAGCCTTACAGAAAACCGGCGTGAAACAATCACAGCGTTAGGTTTCGCCGTGTGAGTGAGGTTACGGGAGGCATAATCTTTGCCCTCTTCTAATCCCTCCTCAATCCCTAAACTCCCCAAAATCCTAATCCCTAAAAGGTCGGTAACGCACTCGTAAGTCTTATGTTGTTGCGGGTGGCGCTGATTGCTTACCATCAGGTAATCCGTCTGCTTGTTTGCCGTCCTATTACATAAATATCATTTCAATTATTGGACAGAAAAAGTTATCACTTTTGTGCGCGATAACCCCATATCGTAATAATGTGAGTTCATTTGACCCCTGTCTCGGCAGTGGGCAGGATGTACCAGCTCACTGCCACATACCGCTGGGTGCATTATAAGTACGTTATGTGTAAAACTGACCCTTATCGAATTACGCCATTATCGGCAGAAAAACAATTGAATATTAAAATGATTAATTTATTGTATGTTTATATTTATTTTCGTTTTTTGAATAGTATTATTTGCTACCTATAACAATGAAAATTAATTGATTATAAATCGGAAGTGGAGTAAATCAAAATAGATTTATTATTAGTTAATTCTTAAAAAAATTAATACCCTTCAAAATAACCTCAATAAAATTACTCAGAGATTAATTAACAAAGGGTAGATTTGAGTGTTAAATAAAACACAAAAGTACAACGAATATATATTAATTTAAAAGATTAAAGTAAGAAACATTTGTAATAAACAAAATTAAATCTTAGTTATTGCAATTTTAATTTTTTTCGCGCCGTTTGTGAGCAATTAGGAACGCGGCTCGAGGATCCTAACCTTCTTTGACTCCCAAAATCATTACCTACTAATTTAGATGAAACCTAGTAGGTAGCTACTTCCAAAATTAGTATCAATAAAAACTAAAAAAAATCTTTCTACATTTTTGAATTTGAAACTTAGTTAGGAAACACGTGCAGCGAAAACTCTCCTCATGAAAAACCCCGAAACTGTACGTTTATTAATCTAGTTAACATTATTATAATAGTGACATATGTTAACATTATTATAAGTAGTTATATCTATATGTTAAAATTAAGATAACTTCGTAATATTTTAATGTTAAAAGGGGGAGAGGTCAATGACCACATAGCTGATTGTGTGGGTACATAACAATAATAAAAAATGACGTAGGAAAATAATTGCCAAATGTAAAGTTGATAAAAAAAACAATACTTAATCAAAATATAATGTCACCATATTATTTATGATCAAAATTTAAATCAAAATCAAAATTTGACAGTAATATGAAAACATTTCTATATTAAGTAAACCATTGATTGTACAAAATGAAGCAAACTGTTCCAAAATCAAAAAATGTTCGACATTAATCTACCTACATATATGTACATATATAGGTACATAGTAAATTAATATACAGAAAGTTGAATTTTTGTGTAAATAAAGTAATTTTTAATGATGGAATGGTTTTACGATAATTCCGAAAATATAACAGATTGTTTTTAAATAAACATACTGGTTTCAATATATTATGAACTTTATTTCAAAACCGCTAATTTAAAAATGTCCTAATTAGTTTTCTAGTCTTTATTTATACTATATGTATATATATGTATCTCCGAAATTACTGGTTCGAATTGAACAATTCTTTTAGTGTTTGTTAGTCTATTTATCGAGGAAGGATATAAGCTATAAAATATCACGCTATGATCTTTAGGGGCTGAGCAGCGGACGAAACCGCGTGAGGGTAGCTATTATTTAAGTGACCGTTCCTGTAGTTCTAAAGACGATATTTTCTGTGATAAACAGACTGACTTAGGCACAGGGAAATCGTCGTAGCTTGAAGTGCTAAGTCCTTGAATCACTTCTACTAGCCGGTGCCAGCCAAGCGTCCGGTGACTCAGCCTATGACGTCATTCTTATGTAAAACGTCATCGTTTTATTATTATTCATCCCGCGATTCTAGCCGTTTACAATATCAAGATAACTTCACGCAGTAATCAGGGACAAAATGTTAAAGGGCATTGCTTTATCTTCTTCCCGTTAATATGTAAATAGGATCTAAAATATTATAGCTATGGAAATCTGCAGATGTAGATATTGGAGATATAATAATGTTTTTCTAAATCAATTTTTAAGATAACATACGTTTCTTAGTAAGGAAAGACGTTGAAGGTTTTTTTATGATGATTTTATTTAATACCGAATATTGATTTATAAAATAAACATTATATCTAAATACACTAAATTAAATAACTATATGATTATGCAGATGTTGTGAAGGGCTAATTCATGAATGTAACCAAAGTTTGAACGTTACATTTCTTCAGAGAATTGTTCGATGGTGACTTAAATTGTATTGTAGTGAATGCAGAAAGATGTTCTATAATCTATCTGTGGCATCAAGTCCACCTTGTACATAAATGTTTGTGCAAAATCTTAGGTAAATCAATCAATTAATAAATTACACATTGCAGACATAACGAGATGTTATTCCGTTGCCGTTTTCCGAAAGCTGGACAAATTAATTAAGTACTTATAATTTTGTTTAAAATCCTCACGTAAAAAATGACTGTGTTGGACCATTTTATGATTTTAAACTTAGGAAGCAGATATTCTTTGAATCAACCTACATTCTTTTTTCAGTGCACCATCTTGCGTTCTTTTTTAAGTCCTTTAATATTGAGTGTTATTTATTTTTTCCTGGGGGATGGTCTACATCCACCAGTCTAATCATCTCCAGATCCTGCAGGTGTTATCCTTGGAGGCTGTGATGATGGCATCACCCGCGTAAGAGAATGCACACGAGAAGATCTCACCCTGGTGACCTGACAGGACCTGAGAAGAAAGCCAGAAGTAAAGAGATTAAGGAAAAATAAGGATGTGCCATGCCTTCATTCTTCTTATTCGAATTATTGAAAACACCAGCAGTTAGAGCTATTCCAAATTGTGCAAATTATTAAAGTAATTGTAAGACATAACACATCAGTTTTCAAATCTATTAAAAATTTTGATATACTTAAAATACCCAGCACGTGAAAATGAGACTATATCAATGTCCATACTACATTAAGCATCGTATTTTTTTTACGGGGCAAATCCATTACAACCTTCTAGAACCGGAACTCCTGTAAGCTAGCTAGGATAGCCTGCCAGAATCCTACTGAATGTTGTACTGTAGTGTACAGACCTACTGCTGCAAAAACACCTGAACTGAACTCCGGTGCGTCCCATGGACAAGAAAATGTATTTCGTTTTCTTGTTCGTTTCCACTTCCCAATCAGGAGATAGATGGCAGAAAAAAAAATGCACAACTGGGAGGGGCCCAGCCGCTAAGCATAGCGGAAATTTGCCTCAAAACTAAGTAGAACTATGTGAAGTCGTTTTTTCCAATAATTGGCAGGTAAGCCTAAAATCATTAAATTTTTTTCTAGTTAGATCATTATAATCAATTAGTTTACCTGAATGCAGTTACCAGTTGCAGTGTTCCATATCCGAGAGCTTCTGTCTGCTGAAGCTGTCAGGAGACAACCACCCGCTGGACTGAAGCAAACCTGTTGGCAGATAATTTTTTTATAAATTTTGTGTTTTCGTTCGTTTTTGTACACGTTTTAGTTTAGTACAATACAGTACAGCTTATCTATATTATAATATAATCAATGCTATTTTTCGTGGTAGCGTAATTCAATTTCAACAATGCTAATTTTGGTATTGAATTATTCGTGGAGAAAAGGTTTGTACCTAGAGAATTAAAAAAAAAAACTTGAATAAGTGTAAAATTGACAACCACGCGAGCGGAGCCGCGGGCGACCGCTAGTGTATAATATAAAAAAGGTTCTCGAAATGTGTTGGTAAGCGCATAACTCAATAACGGCTGGACCAATTTTGACAATTATTTTTTATTATGTTCGTTATTGTAAGGAAAAGGTTCTTACGAGAGAAAACTTTAGAAAAGTGAAGTGGAATACCGGGAATTAGCAACCCTTTCGGTGCCGTACGTGGCCGTTCGCTCGCAAAACCAATGACTGACACCGGAATAGTCGGATACCGGGGTTTTTATTAGACTATTACATGCGGAGCAGGGGCGATCTGCTAGTATCAAAAATGTTTTGTTCAAATCTTTTAATGAGTTACGTACCTTGGAGACTTCACCGCGATGTCCTTTCATGACGGCGAGCTCCTTAAAGTCGGACTTGACGTCGTAGACCCTGGCGGAGCAGTCGCTGGAGGCTGTCGCCATGCGCTGGCCTGCCCAGTCGAAGCATATATCCAGCACCTAGGACAAAGATATTTATTGAAAAAATATATAAGTACTAAGCATAAGATACTAATGTAAGAATAAGGTACTCTAAGGATATTCAAGTGCTAAATAAGTGATGTTTTTTTCTGGACAGGACTTCTCTCGCCCACGGTGAGGATAGAGGGAACGTCAGACTTTTACTGATTAAAATACCCCTGTTCCTTCTCCTGCTTGAGGCCAAGGCCACGGTACCTACCGACGACTGGACGGATTTGCATGAAATTTTGCACAGGCATAGGATACGCTCCGGGCGGAAGCTAGTAACGTATATTTATCAGAACAGGTCCACTTACTTCATCAGTATGCCCAGATACGGTGGCCAAACAAGAACTCTGTCGCGCGTCCCATAGCTTGGCGCTACCATCGAGGGAGGACGAGCCCACCAGGGAACTGTCCCAGTTGAACTGCACGTTCGATATCTCACCATCATGGCCGCGGAGCACTGATACTCGTCTGTTTAAAGTATTTAAAATTATTAAATAGTATTCGTTCTGTTTGGGACTGTCCTACATTGCGGCGATCCACAATTATAGGGAATCAAAGAAAAGACAAAAAAAAAATTGAGAGAAAAGATCTATTAAATAATATAAATAAATTATTTTTGGCCGCAATAAAATTATCCTGCACCGTTAACCTGAGCAACGCGTTGTCAATAGTATTATTGCTCGTAATTATTGTGCAGGCGCCCAAGCAATTATTTTTAATCTCAGCTATTTAACGCGAATTTACAGTATCAGTAGAAATCTTTAAAAAATACAGTTTCAGTAGAAATCTATACTATTTGCATAATTTCAAAACTTACTCATCGACTCTGGTGTCCCATATGGATATGGTGCCGTCGAAGGAGCCTGTGATCAGCCGCTGACCTTCGTTGGGGTCAAATTGCAGAGCGATCACCTCCGCAGTGTGACCGTTGTATGTGTGAATCTCAGCTCCTGTTCATCATGTTTATTAATATCATTTCTTAATGAATGTCATACTGAGCACATCATCGAACTTTAATTAAGAATGAAGTATCTAAACTTAGCTAAGATTTTTTATTTTTCCCTTATTTTCCGACTCAGGATAAGCTTGACCGCTAATCAAATATTCTCAGATAAAAATACCGAGTTAGAAATCTTAATTCCTTCATAGACGTGGTAATTTGATAATCGAAAAACCACAGTCGATATCTAATAGTACAGAGTACTAAAAGGGTGCATAGTGCTTGATATAAAAAAGTAGGTAAGTATGTAAAAGCAAAGCATTCAGAAAAATATTAAAAAATAAGATTTCATGTTCTGCTTTCTGCTCTGAGAAATAAAACTAATGTTCCCTTATTACAAAACAAGGCATCTTTTGTCTAGGTTTAAACCATTGGTTACACAAGGTTTTATATTTTAAATCTTTTTCTCACCTACCTTCAATTGGAAATACAAAAACTGGCTCAATGGTTTAAGCTAGGCTAGACTAAAGAAAAACCTTGTCTTGTAACAAGACCGAAGAGGTTTAATTATGTCTATGCAAAGACGCTGATGAGGGCCAAAAGGCGGAAAAATAAATGGGACTGGGCCGGACACGTCAGCCGAATGCATCCGGAGAGATGGGCCCCTATTGTCACCCAGTGGACACCTCAGGATGGACGCTGCAGACGAAGTAGGCCCCGGAAAAGATGGCGTAACGATCTAGACGCTTATCTTCGAGACTGGTAAACACGCTCGAAAGATCGGGACGTGTGGAAGCGAGATAAGGAGTTTTGCCCAGCAGTGGGACATTACAGGCAAGTAAACAAAAAAATGCGAAGACGATGATTAAGAACAACCTGTGTGGACATCAAACAGCTTGGCAGTGTGGTCCATGGAGCCGGTGGCGGCGAGGTCCCCCTTGGCATTGAACTGACAGGCCACCACCTCGCCGCGGTGCCCCCATAGTACTGCCAGGCACTCGGCAGTCTCCGGGTCCCAGATACGAGCTGATTTGTCGAATGATCCAGTGAGTACGCGGTTGCTGCGAGACGGGGGAAAATCACGCAACAAATTATTATATTTGTGCGAAATCCCTTCGAGCCTGTCACTCACACACAATCACATAGTAACTCCTATCTCGAATAAGTATTCTTCTTTTCAGAATATTTAATTTCTTAAGTGTGGGAGAGCCAAGCATCGGCCTAAATGGGTCGGCTTGACCAGACTAATACCACGGCCTCACAGAAAACCGGCTTGAAACCACCACAGCGTTATGTTTCGTGTGAGTGAGATTCCCGGGAGCCCAATCCCTTCTATCCCCACCATTAAAGGCCGGCAACGCACTTGTAACTCCTTTGGTGTTGCAGGTGGCCATGGGCGGCCCCGACTGCTTACCATGAGGTAATCTGTCCGCTCATTTGCCGACTTATCCCATAACAAAAAAAAAGTCACACATAGAGCATAGCTAAGTTGCAACTGAATGGTGTTTTAGTGTTACTCCTGCTCTTGACAAACTGACCATGCGGGGAAGTTGAAGCTGACGGTGTAGACGACGTTCTGGTGTCCTGTCAGGGTCTGCAGGTCGGTACCACTCTCCACGTCCCACACCTTGCAAGTGCGGTCATAACTTCCAGATAGACATCTGCACGATAGACCAATAATAAGTTGATATAAAAATATGAAAGATTAGCGGTTCGCCATCTTCTCTCTGCTTCCCATTGATGTCACCCCTACAAATAGTCACGGCATGGCAGGATGCCAAATGCTGTTCCCCTATTCCCTGACCTTAGTAAATACAGCATATCTAAAATAATGATCAGAATCGGCCTAGTCTTCCAAGCGAGAGACAATGATTACGGGAAAGTGGGATTATCTTTTATTCACGCAGATCTGTTATTACTAGGTACGAAGTAATCACTTTCAACTTCAAAATTGTATTGATAGACATGTCAGCAAAAGTTTAATCCTAGTAAATGACGTTTCAACAAACTAAAATATGCATGTTCCTATCATCAGAGCCTGAAACTATAAGAGTGATCCCAGGCTCAATGACAGTCAATTTTAACTTTGTGCCTGCTTACATAAAAATATTAAAAATAATTTAACTGTGGGAGAGCCATGCATCGGCACTAATGAAGTGATACCACGGACTCCCAGAAAACCTGCGTGAAACAACATTTACGTTGCGTTTTGCCGTGTGAGTCTGGTTAGCGAAGGCCCAATCCTTCTCACCCATCCTCAATCCTCATATAGCGAGGCAACGCACTTGTGTGTCCATGGGCGGTTTTGATTGCTCACTACCAGGTAATCCGCCTACTCGATTGCGCCCAATGTCATAAAAAATTAAACATAGCCATCATAAATTAATTAGCAACGTAAGTAAATAAAAATGTACCGGTTCCCAGTTTTATCAAACGCAACATTCGTAAGCGGCAGCACATGGGTCATCAGCGTCTTGTAGATGTAGAACCTCTTTCCAGTCGGACCTTCGTGCTCTGTCCTCTTCTTCAACACCTCCAGACATTGTTCCAGCTGCTCACGTACCTCCTCAGTGATCAGTGGCTCTTTCTGGTACAGCCGGAACGCCAACTCTTTGATGTTTGTGCTGTTGGAATAATAGGAAAGAAAGAAAAGTAAATATTCATTTTTTCCCTCAATTTCAATACATGACTACGCCTTTTGAATACGAAAAACGCAGGCGAAAGCCGAAAGCCGGCTTGTGCCCCAGATGAGGAGTGGCTAGAGAGACGCCACGGCGTCTCTCTCGACATCTGGCTGAAGTAGGTGAAGTGGCTGGGGCGTGAGGAACTAAACTAATCACGTCCCAGCCATGGAATACACACTGGGCATTGGAAATCGTGCGACGATCTCTGTCTGTAAGCGCGTGTCTGCCCACTCGAACAGAACCGGACTCGAGTGCGACATAGAGACAGATAGACACCGTCAGCTAGGTGAAGAGGCTCATAATTTATAAAGCTATACCTTTAGCTATAGTAACCATATACTACACACAAAATATTACTTTAAAAGAAACGTTTAATATATTTTCTAATAGGTCCTAGTCGACAAGTCACTTTAAAGTGTATGTAGTCTAAGTTATAGTATAATCTTATTAAAAAGCACTTTAGACCAAAGGTCGCAGCATCTCATACCACCACGCGAGATAGCGGTTAAATGCCAGCCTATTACAAAAAAACTTTGCTATAACTATAATAGATAGGATAAATTCCTTACTTGGAGTTTAATTCCAATAAATCAATTTCCTTATTTTTCACGATGCCCTTCTGCTGATATTCCAAGGTGATCCCTGGAGGGTGGTACCTCAAATGGAACCTCAACAACTTCATTATTGGACCAAACCTGAAGATTGCTCACGAAATCATTTTTTATTATTATATTTATTCGGAGTAAAATTATTTCAAAAACTGTCTGAATTTTGTCAATAGTTACGGTTGTCATGGCAACGGAGGTTGTTTGTTTTTATTGAAGTAACTTGAATTGAGGTCAGGAGGTCAAAGAAGGTCAAATTTTGGGTTATGTGCAGTAGACGGTGACTGACTGACTGTTCTGACGAACTGAATACCCAGAAGGGGTGAACTATTTTCGGAATTGTTACTTTTACTTAGGTAAGTAGGTAGGCGTAGTCTACGACACAATATTATTGTCATCATCTTCATTAGAATCAGCACTTTCCCGTCCACTGTTAGACATAGGCCTTTACTATATACATGTAGCCTGCCTATACATTATATAAACCGATTTCATCAATCACTAGCGACCCGCCCAGGCTCCGCACGGGTGCAAAGCCGATACTAAAATTGTTCACTATTTAATAGGTGTTATAAAGCATATAAACCAATGTTAATAAAACCGCATCACTAACCGTTGCGTAATTTTAATAGGGATATAAGTGTGGGAGAGGCATGCTTCGGCACGAATGGGTCGGCTCGACCGGAGTGATACCACGGCCTCACAGAAAACCGGCGTAAAACAACCACAGGGTTGTGTTTCGCCGTGTGAGTGAGGTCACCGGAGGCCCAATCCTTCCCCTCCCTCAATCCCTCCTCAATTCTTAAATCTCCAAATCCGTAATCCCTAAAAGGTCGGCAAAGCACTCGTAGCTCCTCCGTTGCCGGTGTTCATGGGCGGCGCTGATTGCTTATCATCAGGTAATCCGTCAGCTCGTTTGCCGACCTATTACATAAAAAAATACATATAGGGACAGTGAAAGCGACTTTGTTTTATACTATGTAGTGCTAGAGAGATATAAGATGGTTGAATGGTGGAAGGTTTAAAAACGAAACAATTCACAATTTCAAAGACACTAGACTCTCTTTAGATTCACAACAACACAAAACAGTGCAGTGCGTGCACTAAGTACAAGACTTCACTCCAAAGAAAACGTCAAGACCTCCAGTAAACAATCAACATACATTTATTTTAAAATATCGCTATCACAACCGTACGGTTCCGTGAGCTCCACCCGAATTCCCGCCATTTTTCAGTGTTGCTCGCTGCTGCTTACAAATAAATTCAATTTTCCCGCCTTTTTAAACTATTTTGTTTGGTGATGTCAATTGGGTAGTTTCCTATGTCAAAAATAAATTAATTCGACGTTTCAACACAATAAATTATTGAAAAATAACTATATTTTTATTCATCGATCGATCGATAAGTATACTATTTTTTTGATATTTTTTAGCAATTTTTTAAGAAATAAGTATATGCTATTTGACGCAAAAATACTATGACGTCATAACTCAGTTTTTCATACTTATTTCATAGAAAAGTATAGTTTTTGACATTTAGATAAAAGTATTGAATTTGACTAGTTGGAAACTACCGTATTGATCAACTTATTTTACTAATAAGAATTATACAAAATATAAAATTAATACAGGTTCGAAATATGACTGAGCCTTACACAAGTGTACTACATATGTATAATATTAATTGTTAACACGTGACCATTCACCTCCACATTGCTCAAGTACCGGTCATTCAGTCAGTTTCAGCTGTTTCAGGCGCAAACTTGTGAAATGAACACCGTCCGCGTCCGGGACGGTTGGTCAACGTATAATTACAGGGAAATTGTAACGTTTCAGGAAGGGTGAGCTGTTTTGAAACTGTAACATTTACACTGAACTTCTTCCTTTTTGTTATATTTCATTAGGTTTCTGTCCCTGGCTTTGCCTGTGAAGTCAAAACTGCAATAAATGATGTAGATATTAGTCACCTAAACTGGAACTAAGTATTCTAACTATCTTAATTACCCCAGATATTTGGTATTGTTGAGTAATTTCTATAGAAGACCAAGGTCTCTTAATTCTTGGTTTGCTTGAAGAAAGAACCCAAATACAATTATCCACTTAGGTGAAAAAGAAAAACTCATTTTTAAAATGTTGTAGGAAAATTTATTCGTACCGTACAGATTTTTATGAGTTTGCTTTTCTACGGACAGACAGACAGAAAATAAAAAAAGGTTTTTAGAATGCACCCACTCACTCATGTAGGTACCTACTCATTAAATTCGCTCGTTAGAGAAGAGTTAAATGAGAACTATTATTTTCAACCTATAACAAAAAAAAAAATAATAATATGAGTGTATGACCGTTTTTTTTAAATCAACTATTGTGTAGATGAAACCCAGTTCAGTAAAAAAAAACTCGTTTTATCCAAAAGTTTTGAAATAGCCTGATTCAAGAGAGAACAGTGCAGGTATATTAGCCAGGCATGAGGCAAGGAACAAAAGGCCCGGTGTCCCATATACCAGGGTACACAAAGGTATGAAAAGCCGGCGAGATGCAGAGATGAACTGCTTTCATACCGTGTCACATATTTGTCTAACATTCGCGAACATTCGCACTGACGCTTTTCGAGGGTTAAGGTTGACTAAGTAGCCTATGTATTGTCCAAACTAAATAGTAGTTGATGAGGTCGCGTTATACACAAATATGAAGTTTTTCTTAAGGGCCTTTTAAAAGCTGAAGATTTTTTTTGTTTGTTTGATTGAACGCTGGAATCTTCGGAACTACCGGTTTGAATTGAATAACTATTTTTGTTATGGAAAGTCAATTTATCGGGGAAGGCTAAAACAACAGAGTGATACCACAGCTTCATAGAAAACTGGCGTGGAACAACCACAGCGTTGTCTTTCACCGTGTGTGTGAGGTTACCAGACTCCCAATCCTTCCCTCCCCCAATCCTAAAATCTCCAAATCAAATATTGCAGTTTCAAAAGTAGGTTTCTAGGGTTATGTTTTATCACAGTGTTGCCCGAATTTCATTTCACAGTCGGGTTATTTTTGGTGAATGTTATGCAGTCGTAACAGTTGCAGCAGCATCAAGCATTGGCACACCTTAAGTACCAAGTCTCTGCTAGTCCAAGGCCTCTTCAGACACGGAGAAGATTTGAGTATTCATCGACTAGATTGTTACTTAAGACGTATTAGCGATAATTTCCTAATAATTAGAAATTATAAATCCAGGTTTCTTCACGAACGTTTTCCTCCTCCACTGACAAAGTAAGTGGTGTAAAAATACATATACTTAGAAAATACTTAAAAATCCAAAAGAGTCACATTGGAACTCAATCCCCCTAATTACAAAACAAGATTTATCTTTAGTCCAGGTTTAAACCATTGAGTCGGGTTTTGAATTTTGAATCTTATTGTCATCTACCTTCAATTCGAAATACAAAAACTGGCTCAATGGTTTAGTCCCAGACTAAAGTAAAACCTTGTTTTGTAATAAGGCCGAATGTTTAACACATTTTATTTAGTTGACTGGCTTATATTCTAGACTAGATTACCTATTGAACTGATGCAGTTATTTCTCACAGTACCTCTAGACTATAGTTAGAGTATCTATTAAAAAAAGCTTAAAAAGAAAAGAAACATCTATAACACGATTAATAAAACAGTTCTCGAGATGTTGAGTACCGACGCAGGCTTTCAATTCTCAGACTATCACATTGTTGACCAATTTCCGGCCGTAGACGTTCGTAACCTGTTTTGCACGACTCGTGTACAGAACCGGATCTTTAGCGATGAGAGCTTGACAACTGATGATGATGCATTACTTCTTTATACACTTTTTTTTGTGAATTTTAGTCGGTAGGCTTATATGGAGGCTTAAGCGTTTCGTATTGAGGCAGATTTGCGCAATTAAATAGTTTCCAACTAGTGAAATTCAATACGTTTATTTAAATGTAAAAAACTATAGTTTTCTATGAATTTTGTAAGATCGCAACATACTTTACATCGAGCTCAGTGGTGTGCAATTGGGGAGGCCTATGTCCAGCAGTGGAAGACAATAGGCTGATGATGATGATGATGATATGACTTCGTAATGTTCTTACGTCAAACAGCATACCTACTTATTTTTTTAAAGTTAAGTAGAAAAAATCTTAGATTAAGTATATCAACAAATGAAAGCATAATAAATTATATTTTTAAAATTCATTGCATTAGAATATTAGCCAAAATAATTTACTTTTGACCTAGGAAACTGGCCAATTATTATGAACAGTCGTGGATGGACTCCATGGAAGCGAACCATCAAACCAACAATAATCCTAAGTGCATTCAGAGCATATAGACAATGCTCAAACGAAACGTAATTACTGATTATATCGTATTCACTCGAAGACAAAGATAAGTAGTACCGGACTTGAATTAAAAACAGAAACCCGGTCTATAAAAAGATTGATTATCAACCTCAGTGACGCATTATAAAAGGAAGAAAGGACCTAAGAAAGGTCTTAGAGTCGATGGATGCCTTTCACATCACACAGCCTATAAGTGCTTAGTGCTGAGCAAATACCTCTTCTCACACGGAGAAGTTTCAGCATTATTGACCTCTCTTGCTCAATGCGGATAAGCGATTTCAAAAGCTTATAATCCGAAATTATACCTAAATCCAGGTTTCCTCACGATGTTTTTCTTCACCTTATGTCAGTGGTTTCTAAATAATCATAGAAGGAATGACTTGGAAAAAGTCGCATCGGTACTTGCTGCAGGTTTCAAAGCCAGAGAAGTAGGTGCCTTAACCTCCAGGTCTCCACGTACTAATGGATGATGATTAATAGCAATTAGTAAGTAGACCTACGTATCACAATGGGTAATATTACTATGAAACTATTGGGGAAAAAAGGTCAACTTCAATGTAAGTTAAAACTAAATTTCTCCAAACATGTAATAGGACCGATTACATGTTTGAAATTTAGTTTACAAAATACCTAGTTTATAAAATACCTGGTATTTTATTACTCAAAATATTATTTACGACAGAGTTAATGAGTTCTATTATTAATTAGCCATTGTCACTAATTTATCTTATATTATGT